GACAAATATTGTATAAGACTACTATTATAAGAACTCAAGAAAAGGTTTAAACACAGAAGAAAACATTCTTTGATGGTTACGAGGGTGGGGAGGGAGGGTGAGGATTATTTACTAACTAGAAAATAGATAAGAATTACCTTAGGTGAAGGGAAGGACAGCGCACACTACCAGGAAAGTCAGCACAACTGGACTAAACCAAAGCTAAGAAGTTTCCTGAATACAGTCAAACAATTTGAGGGACAGAGTAGCAGCGGTAGAGGTATGGGGAGCATGCTTTCATGAGACATCTAGGTCAACTGGCATAACAAAGCCTATTAAGAAAATGTTCTGCATCCTACTTTGGTGAGTGGCGTCTGGGGTCTTAAAAGCTTGCAAGTAGCCATTTAAGATGCATCAATTTGTCCCAACCACCTGGAGTAAAGGAGAATGAAGAACACCAAAGACACAAGGAAAGTATTAGCCCCAGAGACAGACAGGCCCACATAAACCAGAGACTTCATCAGCCTGAGACCAGAAGAACTAGATGGTGCCCGGCCACCACCAATGACGCCCTGACAGGGAACACAACAGAGAGTCCCGGATGGAGCAGGAGAAAGGTGAGGTGCAGAACTCAAATTCTAGTAAGAAGACCAGACTTAATGGTCTGAGACTGGAGGAACCCCAGAAAGCATGGCCCCTGGATTCTCTGTCAGTCCAGAACTAAAATAATTTCCAAAGCCAACTCTTCGGACAGGGATTGGACTGGACTGTGGGATATAAAGTGATACTGGTGAGGAGTGTGCCTCTTAGCTCAAGGAGATACAAGAAAGTAAATGGGCAGCTTCTATCCAGAGGTGAGATGGGAAGGCAGAGAGGGTTACGAGCTTGTCGAATGGACATGGGGAATCAGGGGTGGAAAGGAGGAGTGTGCTGTCACAGTATGAGGAGAGCAATTTGAGTCACATAACGATGTATGTATAAATTTTTGTATGGGAAAAAAGAAATTAAGAAAAAAAAAGAAAGGACAACCTTTTGGGGAAGCAATCTGGCAATATTTATCAAAATTTAAAATGAGCATAGCTTTGACCTGGCAATACATTTACGTAAGTGCACAGAGACATACATACACACATTTTTAGTGCAGCATAGGGAACCGGCCAAATACAGTCTTATGTATCTATAAAATGGAGTATTATGAGCTTAAAAAAAACAGTGTACGTCTATATACAGTCATCCCTCGGTATCCAAGGGGGGTTGGTTCCAGGACCCCCCATGGATGCTAAAATGCATGGATGCTCAAGTCCCTTATATAAAATGGCGTACAATTTGCATATAACCTACGCATATCCTCCTGTTACTTTAAATCATCTCTCAATTACTTATATAAATGCTATGTAAATTTGTTATACTGTATTGTTTAGGGAATGATGACAGAGCACCAGGTGAACAATGCTCAAACGAGTGCTGGAGAGAGTCTGAGGATTTGTGAAATGGTGGGAGGGTACAGCAGGGTATGCCTATACATCATTTCACTCGCGTGGATTCAGTGTAGTGCTTGGTGTGCAGCAAATTCAAGTATTGCTTTTTTGGAACTTTTTCCCCCTCAAATATTTTCGATCTATAGTTGGTTGAATCCGCAGGTGTTGACCCTGCTGATACGGAGGGCCAACTGTACACTAACAGGGACAGATACCCAGGGAAACTAAAAACAAGTTACAGAACAGTATTCATAGCATAATTCCATTTGTGTGAAAGAAGGCAGGCAGGCAGACCTATATACACAGATGAGCAGGGGGCTTGTAATTTTTTATTTTATATTCTTCTGTATTATTTGAAAATTTTTTTTAAATGAGCATGTATTATATTTAAAAACTTTTTTTAAATAAAGGAATTGGTCATGAAAAAAAATTAAACAAGTCCTGCCCAATTCAGGCATTATCCTTTCTCTTTGAAAACTTTCAATGATAAGGACTACAATATCTTACAAGGAAAAGCATCTCATCAAATAGCTCCAGTTGTTAGAAATTTATGTTAAAGAGAAACTTGCCTTTTCTATATCTTCTAGCCATTAGTCCTATTTCTAACTCTTGTGGAAATACAAAATAAATTGGCTACTGCTTCTACCACTGTGCTAATAATGGCAGCCACTAGTCACAATGGCTATTAGGCACTGGAAATGTGACTACTCCAAATTGAGATGAGCTGAGAGTGCAAAATACACACTAGTTTTCTAAGACATGAAAAAGAGAATGTAAAATGTCTCATAAATAATGTTTGAAATTGACTGCATGTCAAAGTAATATTTTAAAAGATAAATCAAGTTCAATAAAATACATTAAAATTAATTTTACCCATTCCCTTCTACTTTTTTAAGGTGGATAATGCAAGATTTTAAATTACACATATGGTTCACATTATATTCCGAATGGATAGCACTGTTCCACAGGATACCTCTTCAAATAATTGTGGAAAGCTATCTTGACATCCAGGAGCCCTGGTGGCACAGTGGTGAAAGCACTCAGCTGTTAACCAAAAAGGTCAGTGGTTCGAACTCACCAGCCACTCCACAAGAGAAAGATGTGGCAGTCTAATTCCATAAAGATTACAGCCTTGGAAACTCTGTGGGGCAGTTCTACTCTGTCCTATTAGGTCACTAGGAGTCAGATTCGACTCAGCGGCAACAGGTTTGGTTTTTGGTTTGGTTATCTTAAGAACCACTGTCCTGGCTCCCCATCCCCAACCCCCCAACAATTTCAGTAGTATTACAGAACATAACAAAAGCTCTATCTTGGCAGAAACAGATTACACAGAAATAGAGAAAAGATGTGCAAGCAGAGCTAGAACAGGCTTAAGAGTCATTTGCATGAACCCCTCAAACGGTGACACTAGATGACTGAGTACAGTGTAAAAAGAATCCAAAACTGAGAGATGAACCTTCAGAGCCCTAGAGTTCTGTACACAGGAGGAAGTAATTAGTGAAGGAGATTTAAAATTTAAAAAAAAAAAAAAGCTTCTGACATGAGAAAGCCAAATAAGCAGGGTGTTATGAACAGTTTCAAAAGGAATGAGAACTGAGAAGAACACTGGGTTATCATTAGTGAAATCCAAGGTTACTTATCCATTTAGAAATAATCTAAAAGGTTTCAACCTACACAGCCCTTACTTGGCAAGTCCTTCTAGAACTGCTGGCAGGAGCGGTGACCTCTGAGCTTTCTTCAATATTCTAAAGTAGGTTACAAACACAATATTCAGAGTCTCTGTATGCTGGCAGGAGAAACAGAAAAAATGACTTCAGTATAACCTAATGTACGTTCTCATGGGTTAGCATAACTATGACTTTCCAAGCTCAACCTTCTTCTTCCCTTCCCATCCCTCCTGAAACTCAATCTTTGAGGCTTTAACAAAATAGCTATTTCATAAAACTAGCACTGATCACAACACAGTTTTTTGCACATCCAAACAAATCATATCTTAAGCTTCATGAAATAGACCAAAATTATATAACCACACAAACTGAAACACTAAATCTCCAGTTAAAATCATTTAACAAAACATTTACAAGCATAACAGAACGTGAAACTGCCTACCAGTTTAAGTTTTCTCTCAGTACTCTCTGAAGCTTCTGCCTCCCGAAGCTCTCGCTCTAGTTTCTCTTCTGCTTTCTTCCACTGGAAAGATTAGGAGGAAAAGAAAGATAAAGAATGTATGAGTATATACCACTGAGTGAAAATAGCAAGCTTCAAAAAGACTATGTAAATATTATAAATCATATATAATACATATATTGTCTATGAATACAAATACAAGCAAAGGTAGAAAAACATGGATAAGAAGTATACACAAACCAAATTTATGATGGTGGCTGCCCCCTGGGAGGAAGGCAGAAAAATGAGATTGGGAAGAGCAACAAGGAAGATTCCAACTTTAACACCAACGGTTTGTTTCTTTTTAAAAAAAAAAAAAAAAAACTGAAGTAAATCTGTTGGTATTTGCTCACTGTGAACAGTGAATATATAGGATATGCTATATTATTCTCTGCAGTTTTCTATAATTTAAATTAAATTTCTCCAAATAGGTGGGGGAGAGGGGCAGAAGAAATAACACGGTGAGCCCAAAAATAATTTTTACTGTTAAATCACCTATAATATGGAAGCCTGTCATGAAAAATATTTCCCAATCACATTTATACACAATGCATAAAACCAGACACTCTGTAGAAATGCAACAGAACATCCATATTTTCTACTTTTTATGCAGCAAATGATGGTTGCAAAGCTGCCTGAGGCACAGACTGAGGAACAGATTCTTTCTCTCATGTGACATTCATTGTGGGAGAGTTGCCATGTTCTTACTGGGTCTTTCTTTTTTTCCCCACAACTGCTATATATATAAAATTTTATATTTAGGATTTAACTCTAATTTTAACCTGTGCCTATGCTATGGTCTTAATCTACGGTCAAATCAAACAAAGAGAATACTTAACAAAAACGGAAATAAACCAAACCTTTCTCTGCATTCTTGATAGAGTTTTTCTTTTTTCCTTGAAAGTCATGAACTTTTTTGGTTTATTAATGTCCTCTGTGTCTTTTTTCACTTCTACTTCCTTGATTCTCAGGTACAAGAATGTTTTTAACATCTTATATTGAAAAAGAAAAAAACAAATACATGACTTAATATTTACACTGCCCTAGAACACTTTATCCAGAAAATTAAGCATTTACCATGCTTTTTCCTTCATTCATGCAAACACTTCGAAACATCTTTTATCACATTTTCCATAAGAATCTATTATCTTCTTGCTAAACATATTCAGTAATTTGATCTATGAAAGGACACTAATATTTGGCTACATATATAAAACACTGTTTACAGTCTAGTGAGTACAAGAAAGAGCAAACACACTACTTGGCATAAAGGATTAAAGAGTGGGCAGACCAGGATAAGGTCTGAAGCAGTATTGGAGGATGAAATACAAATCAGACATTTCTAAACAAGCTTTAATTTACCAAATCGGCTTCAGTCTTGCAGTTAACTGTGCTAATCTTCATGTTCGTCTCTTAATAAAAATTTATACGAAGACTAGTACTATTAATCTGAAGAAAGCCTATTTTTCCTTTAAGCTAATGGTTCTCCAACTTTATTAAGCATCATAATCATCCAGAGGACTTGTTAAAACACGAATTGCTGGGCTCCATCCCAGGAGTTTCTGACTCAGTAGGTTTGTGGTAGGGCCCAAGAAGTATTATTTCTAACAAATTTCCAGCTGATGCTGATGCTGCTGGTCCAGGGACCACAGCGAGAACTATACCTACTCCTCGCTTATTGACATGACATTTCACATTTACAACTATAGTAAAAAATCTACTCTCCGACTATTTTGTGCATTAACGAGGAGGCGAGGTCAGACAGGGAGGAGGAAGGCAAGGTTTGTGAGAGGGAGAGAAGCCACGCGGCAGCCAGCAGTTTGGTTTGTGTTACCCGTGTTGGCTGGTACCAAGTGCCTGGCCGGTAGTAGGTAAAAAGTTGGGGGGTGGGGGAGGGGAACAGACCACAAGGAGGTGGTGGGGGCCTGGGCCGCAGGAGTCAGGTGGAGGCTTGGAAGTCTCTTCTTCCAAAGAGAACTCTCTGCCACCTCTGCAGCCTCCGATGGGCCCAGGTGGCCGGGCCTCACCTGCCTACAGGCCCAGGAGTCGCCTGCCACCGAAGCCCGTCTCCGGGGCCAGCAGAGCACGAAGGTGGAGAGGCAAGGCACAGGGGTCCAAGCAGAGGCCTAGGGCACAGCCAGGTGATGGTGGGCCCCTGCTACTCCAGAGGCAGCAAGCAACCCGTGACTACCACCAACACCCCCGAACCCCAGGGGCTCTGTGGTGGTGGGAAAGGAGAGCCCACTGCCACATGCCCATCCTGAGACACAGGGAGGCTGACAGCTGATGAGTGACAGGGGAGAAATACTGGCATTAAAGACAGGCGGCCCTGACTCTCACGTAACGCAGATCTTCAACAGCCTGGTCTTTGGAACCTAACTATGTCGATAAATAAGGAGTGGGTGTACTGACATAAGCCATTTAAAACACTCAAACTAATTTGGGACTTGGTGTTTTGTGTGCTACATTAACCATTCTCACATCCAAACATAAAGAACAAAAGGAATTTAAAATCCTGTACTTTCTCAGGAAGAAACTATACCACCGACCTCCTGTAGTCACAGCAACGTTCTTAGAAAAATTTCCAGTTGGTATTATTTTGATGTCCGATATGCACATTTGGAGGAAAGCTGAGCATTTCATATTAGAGTGGCAATTAAGCATCAAACAAAAACAAGGAAGAACTAAAGGCATAAAGCGTGAACCTGAAGTCATTCTAGGTATCAGAAAGAAACTGTGAATATTTTGTAGGTATCCTATGTGCTCATAAAGTATCACAAACAAAAGAAAATACCTCCAAATTAAAGATGGTGGGTCTGATTCTAACATCACTAAAATGAAAGTTTTCCTACAGCTGAGTTTCACATTCAAGCCTCAGGACTGGTCATTCTACAATTCTGAATAAAGACACTATTTTCTCTTACTCAAGTCCAACATTTGTAATTACAGTGGTTCAACCAAAATGATCAGTTTTAAGGAATGAAAGGGTTTTGATGGCAAAAGAAGACTTTAAAATCAGAAAATAAGAGTAGAAAGTAATAGCTTAACAACCAAACCTATGACTAAAATAAGTTTAGTAAAAATATCTAGAATCCAAATAAAAAAACTATAAAACTTCACTTAAGAACATTAAAGAGGCTTTAAATAAATGTCAAGATATATGATGTTCTTGAATAACAAACATCAGTTCTCTAAATATTTTAATTCTCCCAAACTAATCTATACACTAAATCAATACCAATCAAATTCAGCAAATTCAGCAAAAAACTGATCCTAAATTCCATCTGAGGTAATAGATATAGAAAAATAACTAAGAATTTTGAAGAAAAAAGAAATGGTTCATATCTTTTAACAATTATGCCCCTTCTGATAAGTATCATTCTACCATATACCCAAATACACTATAGATATAAGGCTACAATAACTAAAATAGTATAGTCTCAGGGGACATCTAGGTCAACTGGCAAAACACAGTTCATAAAGAAAATGTTCTACATCCTATTTTGTTGCATAGCATGTGGGGTATTAAAAGCTTTCGAGCGGCCATCTAATAGGTATCCACTGGTCCCATCCCATCCAGAGCAAAGGAAAATGAAGAAAACCAAAGACACAAGGAAAATATTAGTCCAAAGACGTAACGGACCACATGAACCACAGCCTCCACCAGCCTGAGCCCAGAAGAACTTGATGGTGCCCAGCTACCACCACCCACCACACTGACAGGGATCATAACAGAGGGTCCTGCACAGAGTGGGAGAAAAATGTGGAACAAAATTCGAATTCACAAAAAAAGATCAGACTACTGGTATGACAGAGACTGGAGCAACCCCAAGACTATGGCCCCCAGACACCTTGCTAACTCAGGACTGAAGCCACTCCCGAAGTCCACCTTTCAGCCAAAGATTAGACAGGCCTATAAAACAAACAGTAACACATGTGAAGAACGTGCTTCTTAGTTCAATCAAGTATATGAGCCCAAATGGCAACACCTGCCCAAAAGCAAAGACAACAAGGCAGGAAGGAATAGGAAAATTAGACAAATGGACACAGGGAACCCACAGTGTAAAGGGAAAGGGGGAGAATGCTGACACATTGAGGGGACTGCAACCATTGTCACAAAATAATCTGTGTATAAATTTTTGAAAGAGAAACTACCTTGTGCTGTAAAAGTCACCTAAAGCACAATTAAAAAAAAAAAAAACAGTATTTTACTTGCAATGGCCTAACCGAATCAATAGACCAGAAAAGAGTTTAAAACAAAATTCTGTGTGTATAGGAATTTAGTATATAATAAAAGCGGCATTTAAAATCAGCAGAAAGAGGAAAATGATTGGAGTAATTGGCTATCCATTTCAAAAACTACATATTTACACATGTGTATGTATATATATACATATATATATAAAATATCTGCATTCAATCCACACGCACACAAAAAGATGTCAGATGATTAAATATTTAAATATAAAAATTAAAACTACAAGTCATCTGGAAGGCAAAAAAACCTATAAACCTCAGAATTGAGGCTTCTAAAAAGATAAAAATTCAGCCACGTATTTAAGAAAGAAAAAAAAAGACAGAATTGATTAAAGCATAAAGCTTCTCCAAAGCAAAAGCGACCACAATACAAAATTAAAAGGCATATTGGTCCAAAGGACCAGCGGACCACATGAACCACAGCCTCCACCAGCCTGAGCCCAGAAAAACTAAATGGTGCCCGGCTACCACCACCAACCGCTCTGACAGGGATCACAATAGAGAACAAAATGTCGAACAAAATTCAAATTCACAAAAAAAGACCAGACTTACTGGTCTGACAGAGACAGGAAGAACCTCTGAGACTATGGCCGCAGGATACCCTGCTAACTCAGAACTGAAGCCACTCCTGAAGTCCATTTTTTAGCCAAACATTAGACAGCCCTATAAAACAAACAATAACACATGTAAGGAAACTGCTTCTTAATCAATCAAGTATACTAGACCAAACGTGCTACACCTGCCCAAAGGCAAAGCCAAGAAGCAGGAAGAGACTGGAAAACTGGACGAATGGACACGGAGAACCCAAGGTGGATAGGGAAAAGGGGAGAGAGAGTGCTGACACACTGCAGGGATTGCAACCAATCTCATATCATAAAACAATCTGTGTATAAATTTTTGAATGAAAAACTAATTTGCACTGTAACTTTCACCTAAAACATAATAAAATTTAAAAATAAAATTAAAGGGCAGAGTGACAAACAGAAAAATATATAATTTGCAACATATGTAACAAAGAGTTACTATCATTACTATATAATGTAAACTCCACAAACACATAGTTTTGTTTTTATTGTTCACCCTTTTATCCCCAGGGCCTAGACTAGAGCCTGGCATATAGCAGATATTTACTGAAATTAATGACTGTAAAGATTACTATAAATAAGTAAGAAAGACAAATACCCAAGGAGAAAATAAGTAGAAACTAGAGGCAATTTACAAAAGATTAAAATGATTAATAAGTATATGGAAGGAAGCAAAACTTAACTAATAATGTTTAAATGATTTAAAAATTTAAAATATATATACATATGTAATATATATCATTTTTCACCTACCAGACTAACAAAGATTAAATAGTAATAATATTCAGCATTGGGTAGGTTGTGGGGATACGACATTTATATCAACAGTGGGATCAAAAATGATACAATGTTTTTGGTAGGCAATTTGACATTATCTCTCAAATTTTTAAACGTGTATATTGTCTGATCCAGTATCTACCCTTTAGAAATTTAACTCACAGAAGATGCACACAAGTATGAAAAAACAATATGGCCAAAGATGTTCTCTTCGACAAGGACTGAAACGGCAAAAACCTGGAAACCTAGCTGTCCATCAAACAGGGAGAAATAGATTAATATAATGGAATACTATATTAGAAAAAAATGGAGCAGTCCTATACAGAAGTCCACGGTGTATATAAGTACTATATATAAGACCACTATATAACATGAAAAAATTTCCAGAAAAGTTTTTAATAGTATAAACTCACTTTTTATTTTAAAATATAAACAATCATGTATGTCTATATTTGCATAGAAAAACATCTAGAAGGATACACAGGCAGTCCCTGGGTTACACATGAGATCCGTTCCCGAGATCTGTTCCTGTGTCTTTAAGTCGAATTTGTAGGTAAGCTGGAACAGGTGCATCACGTTCTTATTTAGCCTTATTTTAGTGCAAGAAAAGGCTCGCAGCCTTTTCAATGATTTAAAGGCTGCATGTGAAGCAAGTGAAGGTGATTGTGAGGGAAATTCGTTAGGAATAGGGTTTCAAAAAATGAGGACAAATTTACATAACATTAAAGGGCAAGCTGGACTTTTAGAACCCGGGGAAATGCCTGTATACCAAACTGTTAACTGGTTACATCTATTATAAGTGGTTAAATCATTAATTTCACTTTTATAAATAAAGCCCTTGTAACAACTAGAAATTAACGCTGTAATTTAAAAACAAGTAAAATGCAAAGGAAAAAAAGAAAGGCTTACCTCTGGCCTAACTTCGTAATTTCTGCCCTTCACAAAACCAGAAATTACTTTAATTACACCAAGGGAAGCTTGGCCTAATTTATCTTGTTTAAAGAGTTTCTTGACTGCCTCACAACACATATCAGATACCTGAAAAATAAAATGTTAAACTAAACCAGTGTTTCTCAACCTCAGAACAACTGACATTTGAGGCTAGATACTTCTGTTGTGGGGGCCTTTATTCACTCTACACCAGTAGCATCCCCCTCCAACCATGACAATCAAAAATGTCACTGAATTGTACATGTAGAAATTGTTGAATTGGTGTATGTTCTGCTGTGTATATTCCCAACAACAAAAATAAATTATTTTTTAAAAAAGTCTCCACATATTGCTTAATATTCCCTGGAAGGAGAGGGGCAAAATTGCCTCCTGTTAAGAATCACTACCATAAATTTATTTTCAAATAACTTTAAAGAAATAGAATTTAACAAATTAGCCCTATTTTACCAATAAGTAATAGACCCAAGAATTTCGAGAGGAAAAAAAAAATCATACAGTCTATCATTGTTCTGGAGCCCTGGTTGCGCAGTGGTTAGCGCTTGCTGCTAACCAAAAGGTCGGCAGTTCAAATCCATCAGCCACTCCTTGGAAACCCTATGGGGCAGTTTTACCCTGTCCTATAGGGTCACGCTATGAGTTGCAATCGACTTGACAGCAACAGGTTTGTTTATTATTCTATTAAGAACAAGAACAAAAATCACACAGAGCAACCCACCGACTTTGACATGTCATTCATGAGAGGGACAATCAATACAATGATGTTGTTGTGAAAGTTAAAATGAGGTAGTGCCACCAACAGCTCACACAGGCTCTTTACAGCCACTTCTGCCAGTCCTTTATATGCCTTTAAGGAAACTACATTACTTCTCTTCAGCTTCCTTTGCTTCCAGTCTAGTCAAAAGAAAACTGTAGTTACTCACTGGTAAAAACACAAACTAATGCTTTTGCAATATGCAAACCGTATGATGAAAACTCAAGACACAATGCTAATTCTTAAATATGAATTGTGACCACACGTACACAAGTTTAATCTTATATTTAATTTTTTCTACCATCATCCACTCTGATTCTAACCACAATTACACAAATCTTGGCTTTTCATATTGTTATTAGATCAAAAGTTTCTCTGGAGGGGGAAAAAAGGGGGACAGTCCTGGATACCTTGAAAGGAGTCCTTGGGCTGAACTTCTTCCAAGACATTCCCCAAAACACCAGACTGTAAGTCAAGACGCCTGGATCCAAATCCTAGTCATCTCCTAATGGGTTGGTGAATATGAGCAAGTTCCAACCTCTCTGGGTCCCAATCTTTCCAAAATCCTCAAAATCTAGAACATCTTTTCTTCTAACTTGCTGATGCTTACTGTGGTATCTTTGCCATTACCCAGAGGGTCCAAAAGAGATTCAAATTCTCCTTCAAAATACCAGATGGTTTATAGTTCTTTCTCTCTACAAATGTCTACATACATCCCCTGCTAATGAAGCTGAAGAGACAAGGACCTTCCTTCAGAGCTGACAGAGAAAGCCTTCCTTGAGCCAGCACTCTGAATTCAGACTTCTAGCCATCTGAACTGTGAGAAAATAAATTTGTTTGTTAAAGCCATCCACTTGTAGTATTTTTGTTAGAGCAGCACTAGATATCTAAGACAGCCAGGATTTGAATCCAAGTAGTCTGACTCTATTATTGACCATACACTATACTGCCTCACCACATAGCACAGAATATAAAATTCACCTTCCTGATCAAAGCTAAATCTATTACATACTTCCAAGATACGTTTAGTATACCTTTAACCATTTGTTCAAGATTTTCCAAATAAAATTTGTATTGGCTAACCAGGCCTTCTTCAAATTCTCTTAACTTCTGGGTTTCTCTGCGGATCTGAAAAGACCAAAAGATTAATCATTTCTTAAAATTAAAATACTAAAACTCAAAAATTAGCACAAAATATGAATGCCTACTATATGTCTGTGCTGTAAAACAAAACCCATCTCTAGCTCTCCAAAATTTCCAGCTTACTTTGATTAGTAATTATATCAAGCATTACCTTGGTAGATTTTTCTGCTTCTGTTAGGGGTCGGATTTTATACGAAGGAGTAATGTCTTTAAATAACTCCATCAAAGAAACTACCACCAGCTTTCGAACAGTAACAGCCACATCAGGATCCTGTTCCATTAGCATGGAACGTAACTCTTTCAATTTTTTAATCTGTTAAAGAAACAACTTGTAAGGCTACAGACATCATGACAAAACAATTATGAACAGAAGACAACAACCCCACATCTAGCACAGTAAGTGGGATTCACAATGACTAAACATGTCATTATTTAGTTAAGCCACACACAATTCATTTTACCAACAGATAAATCATTAAAGCTCTAAGTTAATCATATTTTTGTTAAATAAGTAGTCAAAAAAATATAGACTTTTTCCCAAGGCCAACTCTTCAGACAAAGATTAGACTGGACTATGGGACATAAAATGATACTCGTGAAGAGTGTGCTTCTTAGCTCAAGTAGATACACGAGACTAAATGGGCAGCTCCTGTCTGGAGGCGAGATGAGAAGGCAGAGAGGGTCAGGAGCTGGTTGAATGGACATGGGAAACCAGACGTGGGAAGGAGGAGGGTACTATCACAGTATAGGAAGAGCAACTAGGGTCACATAACAATGTATGCATAAATTTTTGTATTAGAAACTAACCTGAATTGTAAACTTTCGCTTAAAGCACAACAATAAAAAAAAGATTTTAAAAAAATAGTTTAAATTTGTTGATTTACCCGATTTTAGAGATTCTTTTTTATTGGGTTTTCTTAAAGCATGAGTGTCCTATTTTTCTAAAAATATTTTTTGAAATACATTATTTTGAACTATGTTAAAATGTATATATATGCCAATCAAATATAGTGATCACATATCTACCAATTAATCATGAATTAAATATATCACTAACCTTGGCTTCACTAAAACTCATAAAAAGATCACGTGTGTTTTGTAATACAGAAATGAAAAATTGGTTTCAACTAATGTGCTTGCTCTAATGAACTGCTATTGTATGCTAGAGTGCTATCTGGAGAAGCAACATTCTGACTGGTTAGCAATGTCCGCCATGAGCAAGGAATAAAGCAAACATGCCGCCACCTATTTGCTATTCTACACTGTGGGCAAAAAGCATGAGGCTTCACAGTTAGAAGACCTGGGTTCCAATCTAGTGGCTGCTGAAATCTAGAACACTTGAGTTTTTTTAAGACTCAATATAATCTGTAAAGTAAAATCAATAACTCTTTTGTCTCTTGTGGTTTTATAAGTGATTAAATGAAATATACATAAGTCAGAAATATCCCACATTCTAATCTCAATTCTGCTCCAGAACTTCCCCTTACTCTATTAGAAAAGGACACGGACTACTCCAAAGCACGCCCACATGAAATTCCTATTTTCTATAAATGTAAATATAATAAAATCTATTTTATTGTTCAATAAACAACAGTCAAAGGATGCTGTGGACATAAATAAGATTACCTTATAAGATTTTATGTATATTTTATCATTTAATCCTTATAACAAAATTTTGAAAAATAGGTACTATCTTCTTTTTAGAGATGATAAAAATGAGTCGGGTAAAATAACTGAAGTCACACAGCACTTAACAGAGCAAGACTGAATCTTAGATTCTTGAGTCCAGGTGTTTTAACTATCACCACCTTCACCACTGTACCCATGGCCCAATGCTAATTCATTACAACTCTCTGGCTCTACTTCACTTAAAATATTTTCCATTTAAAAGTAGTCCTGAACTAATGTCATTGATTTGTTTTATAGCATGTTTCTTATTTCACAGTTGCAACATTAAGTCCAGTATCTTCATTTGGAGAAGAGGAAAATAGGAGCCAGAGAGTTTAAGTGACTTTCTAAGATCACAGAAGAAATTAAATTCAGACATAAGATTAAGCTAAGGCTCTGTTCACTATCTTATTCTAAGCTACTATGTTTAGTTAATGCTTTTCCTTTTCGTGTACGCTCGTAGGTAACGAGAGCCTTAAAATATTAAACATTTATACCATATCTAATATGAAGAGCTGAAAGAAATTCATACTACCTACATTACTTTCTGGATCTGATAATATGGCAGATGCCAAGGCTGCAATATGCATTTTCTTCTCCTGCAGTTTTTTCTTTCTCTCCATTACATGTTCTTCTAAGGTCAGCTCTGGAATGGGCTCTTCAATGATCTCTAAAAGAGATTAGGTTTTTCCTTCTTAAATATTCCTTTATTTACAAGCATCCAAGAACCTTAACCAATACTTGTATTATAGTAATAATAGATAATAATGATGATAGCTAGCATTATTGAGCACTTAACATGGGCCAGGAACTCTACATTTATTACTGCACATTATCCTCTTGACAATCATAAGTGGCTGGTACTATTATTAGTCCCACTTAGTAGATAAGGAAACTGAGGCAAAAGGAGAGTAAGAAACTGAACTCATAAACCTCGCAGAAATGGGATTCAAACCCAGGCAGTCTGTCTCCAGGGTTCATATTCTTAACCACTATTCAAATAAACCCACAATAACTCAGATTAGTTAAGGGAAAGGACAATCTGTTTAGTTTTTCTAAAAAGTATAGAATATTGTCCCTTGCTTTCAACTCTGTATAGTACTTTGAATGACACAAAACACAACCATCTTAAGAAATTTACAAGGAACTAACTTTAATAAACACACAAGCATAATCTGTAATGAGCCTATGAAGGATGACTGAAAAGTTAAACAGGTGACCATAATCTCGTTCACACTATTAAGTGTAAGTAAAATTTAACCAGCACATTCTGTTACAAATTCCAAACCAACAGAGTTCCAAACTGGAACCCTGGTGATGCAGTGGTTAAGAGCTCAGCTGCTAACCAAAAAGGTCAGCAGTTCAAATCCACCAGCCGATCCCTGGAAACCCCATGGGGCAGTTTTAAAGGATCACTTTGAGTCTGAATCAACTCAATGGCAATGGGTTTTTTGGTTTATAGTTCCAAACAATAAAATATTTCTTTCAGTTTAACTTTGATTAGAACTGTTCTGGATGTTAGAAGACCACAATCAGTTATCTAACACAGACATGCACAAAGAATAATTGCTCTAAGAAAGAAATAAATGATACCGCAAAATTGTTTTTTATAATTTAAGGCTAAAAATAAAGTATTAATATTTATTTGTAGGCAGGTCCTTCTCTCACAATTAAAAAGAATTCAGAACAACAACAATTAACAAGACTCTTTAAGCACGTCTAGTCATCACATTGTGTAAATGTTTCCATAACAAAAAGGAACAAGGACTCAAACTCCAGAACATGATTCTTTAAAATGCAGAAAAAAACTCAAAATGAAATGACCTGTACTCCAAAAATGCATTCCAGATTTTATCGAAAATTAAGTCACATTTACTATTATACAAAAAAATGTAATTCTCAATTTATAATTTAATAACTGTAAAGATGTAGCCCATTACCTTCCTCAAGTCCCTTTTCTTCTTGATCCTCTTCATCTTTGTTACTTTCAATAACTATATGGAAAACATGTGAATTAAAAACGTGATAATATACTTAGTTAAGTGGTGAAACTATAAAGAAAGCAAGGAAGTGATTACCATAAAACTCAGGATAGTAGTTACTTTTGTAGGGAGGGAGCAACTAGTGATTGAGAGGGGTGCAGAAGTTTCTGTGTGCTGGGAATGTTTCTTTTGTTTTAAATATGTTATTGTATTTTAGGTGAAAGCATACAATATAGCAAATTAGTTCCTATTTAACAATTTTTATACAACTCGTTACATGAAACTGGTTACATTTTTCACAATGTGTCAATATTCTCATCATGTCCATTCTTTCTGTTGTTTTGATTAATCTAGCTTCCCTGCCTCTCCTTAGCTTCTCCTCTTTGTTTTAGGGTAAACGTTGACCATTTGGTCTCACATAGTTGATTATTTAAGGGAGCACAGTATTCATGGGTGATACTGTTTATTTTATAAGCCAATCTATTATTCGGATGAAAGGTGACCACAGAAATGGTTGTTTCTTGCCAGGTAGTTTTATAGGTATATGCTTTGTGATAAACAATGTAATTTCACGTCTTTGATTTCTGGAGTTTTCTGTGTGATTTCTTTTAAAAGTTGAATGAAAGAAGAAAAAAAAGGCTAATACGGTTTGGTTGGTATGCTCTAATTTTAGAAATGCTAAATTTTAGAAACAGACTCTTTAAAAAGGAAAATCATCTGAAGCTTGTAGCTTTAATTGTCCTCACGGTATAATGGATACCTGAGATGATCATCTCTACTTTAGGCCAAAATTATTAAGCTTGTTACATAACTAACTGCAGCTATCCTCACTTTGTAGATTATCTTTATTTGAAAAATTAAATTAAATTCTGAATGAAAAAAATATGGTAACATTAATGAGGAGCTGAAATTTTAACTAATACATCAGCTGATTAAATTCACCTGGCTTCTCCCTGGTCTGTGGAATTATACCACTTTTATCTTTGATAGGAAGCAAGTGAATTAGTTCTTTCTCCGGTGCAGTTTGCAGACTTCTCGGTATTTTTTCATATTTCTCTATAATGTTTTCATGCTTTCGTTTCTTGGCGTGAACAGGCTCACTGAGGGGGAAAAAAGTCATATTAGTATACATTAACTTTACTCTATTAGTTTTAACGTATTTTAAAAGCAACCCAGAGAGTCATCACCATTTTAAAAGTACAGAAGAATAAACCATACCCAAACCTTCAATGTCGTTGTTAAGTGCCATCAAGTCAGTTCCAACTCATAAACCTTCAATACTAAACCAAAAAAAAACCAAACCCATTGCAACTCATAGCAAGCCTACAGGACAGAGTAGAACTGCCCCACAGGGTTTCCAAGGAGTGGCTGGTGAATTCAAACTGCCGACCTTTTGGTTAGCAGCCGTAGGTCTTAACCACCGTGCCACAAGTGCTCCAAACCTTCAACAGGTATAGATATCGGCACCTACGCCAGTGCCTGGCACATAGCAGGCACTCAAACAGCAATCAAATAAATCAATCATGCAGATAGTCTACCACAAAGGTTCAAACTATGCCTACATCTAGTTTTCCCTTTATACACAAAATAAAGGTGAAACTTTTGGCAGATCGTTTTTGAAGAATATTCCACAGAGCCAAGGGATGACATCATGCTATTCTACTTCCCCCAAATCCTTCAGAGCATAGCATGGGCTTTGGAGTTAAACAGATCTAAGTTTAAATTCCAGATCTACTTCTTGGGACTGTGGGGAAGCCTGTAACGTCTCCATAAATAGGAGCAATACCTACCTAGGAGGGTAATGGGGATTAAGTGAGATCGCAGGCATAAAAAACTCAGGACTGTACTGCCAATGCTTCAAACTGAGAACAGCATTTTTCCTCACTCTATTTCACTACTCAGATATAAAAGAACTACAAGCAGTCCCTGGGTTACTAACATCCAACTTATGTACTTGTGTAGCTACAGACCAACCCCCATAAACCTTATTAAAACTTCGAGGTACGTACAATGGTTCGTAATAACAAACAAGTGCTACTCTGCAGTGCACATGAAAACACTATTACTGTATTATTACATTAAAGACGTTTTAGTGTATCTGGAACAGTTTCTTTAATGTTCTGTATGCATAGAAAGGTACACTATAAACTAAGAAAAAACATTTGACTAACTGACCTTAGATACGAACTGTACCTAACTGTTCCAACTTACATACAAATTCGACTTAAAGACAGACTTAGGAAAGAAATTCGTTCGTAACCCAGGGACTGCCTGTAAATAAAATCAGCTTGTCTTAATCATGAATGTACTTTACTTAAGATATAAACTGAAAAATAGGGTTTACTATTTGTAAATATTGTGCTGAACTGTACATTTTATACTAATCATCTAAGTAAAAATCAGAACCAAGTTTTTAACATTAAAATGATGTGGCAAAGAATGTAACCAATGTCACTGAACTGTACATGTAGAAAATGTTGAAGGGTGTATGTTTTGTTATATTTTCACACACACAAAAAAAAGATGTGACTATAATCTAAATGAACTATTACCTGGAAGAAAGATCTCTTGTTAGAAAAGATGCTCTTTGTCCTAAATCCTTCATTAACTGTAAGTCATCTTCATCCATCATATCTAAAGGAAGGACTTCCTCTTCTTCCTCCCCTTCCCACTCAATCCTTTTACCTGTTCCACACATACACACAAAAAAAAATCAGAAAAACTATTACAGATGTAGAACTCACTGTATTTCTGTGTCTACAATAGGAATATCCATGCTTTTCTAATACCCTAGTCTCGTGTCTCTAAATGGGGGCACCATCAACACGGTGGACAAGACAACTCTTCGTTGTACTGGGGCATCCTGAGCTACGCAGGACATTAGCATCTTTGACTCCTGCAATCTAAATGATAGGAGCACTCCCAGGTTACTGTAACAGCCAAAGTTTCCACATATTTTGAAATGCCTTTTGGGGTGTTTGAGAACCAGTGACTTATCCTCTTAGCACCTACTCATCTCCAATGCCTTTCACTTTCATTCCACTTTAGCCACCCTGTCCAGGAGCCACATCCCAAACCTTAGTGCTTACCCCACTCTCACACCACAACATTTTGTCCTTCCGACTTTCATTCAGTTACTTCCCCTGAACTTCTTCTTCAACCAAATACACAGACCTTCAACCTTTTGACCCTCTCCACTTTCTCCCTATCTACCAATGTGTTGTCTCACTTAGATAATATGGTCTATTACCTCATCCACTCTCCTACCACCATCCAAGAGAACATAGAGTTTTCTTCTTTCTTGAAACACTTTTCTTCTGATTTCTAGAACATTGTGCACTCTTGGTTTTCTTCCAAATTCTCTGGCTCCTCCTCAGACCACTTTACAGGTTTTTCCTTCTCCATTTGTTTCTTAAACATTAAAACCAGTTGCTGTCAAGCTGACTCCAACTCATAGAGACCCCATGTGTGTTAAAGTAGAACTGCGCTCCACAGGGTTTTCAATGGCTTTTTTTTGTTTTGGAAACAGATTGCTAGACCTTTCTTCTGAGGCACCTCTGACAGGACTTGAACCTCCAACCTTTCAGTTAGCAGCCAAAGTGTGGTAACTATTTGCACCACCCAGGAACTCCTTCTTAAATGTTAGGGTTGCTTAAATTCTGTCCTGGGTGCTCTAATTCTCATGCTAGTCTCCACTCTGATTTTATCTAAGTCTAAGGCTATGAGTCAGAATTGACTTGTCGGCACATAACAGAACAACAAGGCTTTGTTTACCATCTACTTGCTAACTCTGCCCAAAACTATTCTTTCCAACCCAGACGCTTAGATCCAGCTGCCTGTTAACCTCACTCAGGTGCCCAATATATAAGAACAAAGAAATCTTTCTAATTTTTTAACATACATAATTACTAATGTATGCTTTTTAAATTCTATTAAAATTTAAACAGAAGAGATTTAGAAAACATCTAACTCAATCATCCCATTTTTGCAGGTGAAGGGCCTGGAAATTAAGTGACTTTGACCGAGGGCACACTGCTAATAAGTAACAAAATCAAGAGAAAAGCTCAAGTTTCCTGACTTCCAGTCCAATGATCTTTTATTCATTATAATATTTTGCCAAAGGTTCAAACTGAAAATGTCAAGATTAAGAGAATGAGATGGATATGGGAAGACTGACTAAAGAGGTGTTCAATAGTCGCTGTTGTTGATTCTGACTCACGGCCACCCATGTGTGCAGAGTAGAACTGCTCTGTAGGGTTTTCAAGGCTGTGAACTTTTATAAACAGATCGCCAGGCCTCTCTTCAGAGGTGCCTCTGGGTATGTTTGAATCACCAACCTTCTGGCTAATAGCCAAGCACTTAACTGTTTGTGCCACCCAGGGAGGTGGAGACAAATATAAATACCCTAAGAGTAACAGTAACATTGTTGTAAAAGAACTGGGCTAAGTCTAAATGGTATCACTCCTTACCTGTTATGAGTACTTGGAGTTCTTGGATAGTTTTAAAAGGAATGACCCTGAAAATCATAGCCCAACTTCTCTTCAAGGTTCCAAGTGAAAAGAAAGCCCTAAGTTTAGAAATCTAAGTTCACCTTGACAACACTCTGAAAAAAAGCACCAGAGAAAAGGAATATTTGTACCTTAGCTAACTGCCAGTGAATGGGAAAGTGGCAGCACTGGCACCCTGTCCAACATTTATTTATGTGGCCACTCTGAGTTTTCCCAAGAATCATATGTCCAGATCTGCTTTCAAGACAAACTAAGCAAAGGTTAGCTCTATCTCACAATGGATACCGTACTAGAATGCTTTCTCATACTGACTGTGATGAAACATATAGGACTATTATCCTTACCAACGCTTAGGAAGATCTGGGAGCAAAAAAAGTGATTACTAGAAAGCAAAGCTATTTCTGTGACGAACATTTTGGAACAAATCAATGGAAACTAGAGCACATGAATGCTTTCACAATTACCTGGTCGTTTTTCCTTTGGGTCTTCCAATGGGATGGGTTTCTTAGACACAGCATCTTTTACAGCTTGCCTTAATTTCCTCTGTTCTTTTCGGTATTTCTTGAGAGTGCTTTGTTGTTTAAACTGCTTATTTTTTAGCTTGTTTTCAAGTTTGACTTTACTAGTTTTTAGCAACTTCCGAAAGCTTGGAACTTGTTTTTTGTTTCTTCTCTAGAAAACAGGAACAGAAGGAGCATTGCATACCACAAATATATTTTATTTTTAAAATCTGGTTAAAAGAATTACATATAAATTTCATCAGACCAATTCCATAATTTTCTCAGTCATGGATCTTGCATGTAAGATTTGAAATCAAACTGTGTCACTAATCCTACCAAATGGCACCAGAGCATCAGTTATTCAACCTGTACTCTTCCTGTGACCAGAACCCACAGCTGTGAAGAGGGGTTTAAGGCCCAAAAGGTTAAGAACCATTGATCTAGTAGTGAATGGTTATTTAGGATTAGTTCAGCATCGGTAGTTCAGCATACTCAGAGGAAAATGCTGTCTTTGACAATGACAACTGACATATGCTGCTTTACCGTTTACAAAGTGCTCTGATACATTACCTCCAACAGCCTAATTAAATAACGATTGCTGTTATCCTCACATTACTGATGAAGAAGCAAGCTAATGCTCAGAAAGTTTGTGTGACTTGCCAAACACTTCTAAGCTAAGCAGGGCAAACTGAATTTCGGTCTTTGGGTTTCAACTCTTGCTGCTTATTCCTCATTCATAAATCCTAACCCCCGAGCTAGCTCTAATTTTCTGTGAGAATCAGAGTAAATCACTTGCTTTCCTATCTCCTTATCCTTTAGGAGGTAAATGGACTTGTCTCGGGTTCCATGACTCACATCATAAACTGAGAGCAGAAGCCAATTCCTCATGTGCAGAACGAGGGGTTCAGAAGATGGTCTTTAAGAGACATTCAAAGTCTCACATCCTATGGATGGATGCAAGATTCCGTACTTGTCTCATCGCGGCCTCCTGTAGCCGTGCGTGAGCACAGCAGACTAAGGATGAGCCCGATCTAAGGGCCAGGAAGCTGACAGCGCATAGGGGCCGAAGGGAGCCCGAATGTGGGCCAACACCCCATACACAGGGTAAAAGCACGCCTAAAAGCTACACCAAGCAGCGATTCTGTCAGCCAGTGGGGCCCTAAACCGCAGGGACTGAGCCTCTGAAGATACTTACCGCCTTCATCCTTAGGCCTGAAAGGATAGCGGTCTGACAATTTCACCAGATGCAGGGAAAACGAACAAAATACTACAAGAACCCCAACCACAGACCACACGTGCTTTGGCCGCTGCGCTTCGTAAGTCGGAAGCTGCCTCCAGCCCCTCCCCATCGTTCGCCGCCGGAAGTAGGAGCGGGACTTCCGTCGGCTGGCTCGGGCGCGCGCCCTCTCGCGATAATGGTCTCGAGACCCTGGGCCATCATGCCCCAGGGTGCGCGCTCAAGGCTTGTGCGGAACTCAAGAGATCAGTGCGAGACCAAAGGCGGTAAACCAAGGAAAGTTTACAATGTTGCTGATCCTTTTGTTGATCTCTCCTGATTTCTATTAACCCGTTGCTGTTCCCGTTGAGTCGATTCAGACTCATAGCGACCCTACAGGACTGAGTAGAACTGCCCCCATAGGGTTTCCAAGGAGTGGCTGGTGGTTTCGGGCTGCCGACTTTTTTGGTTAGCACCGGAGCTCTTAACCACTACTCCATCAGAGCTCTGATTTCTATTAAGGTGTTAGGGAAGTCAGGCTCCTCCTCTCAAAGAGGACTTGATTTCTTCAATCCCCTTATTGCATTTTGTGCCTCTCCTCGCGTTGCTTATCCACCCTTCTATTAGAGGTACTGATTTTTGTGGTCAGTAAAGTCTTGAAAGCAGAGAAAAGCTTATCGTTTTGCCTGATGCCCAACTCCAGTCTGGCCCTTTCCGAGTTCTCAGGGTGTTTTGTACAATAGTGAATGAGTTCTCAAGATCCTTCCTCCACTCCAAAACCAGCCAAACCAAACCCGTTGCCGTGGATTCTGACTCATAGCGACCCTATAGGACAGAGTATAACTGCCCTGTAAGGTTTCCAAGGAGCACCTGGTGGATTTGAACTGCTGACCTTCTGGTTAGTAGCCATAGCTCTTAACCACTACGCTACCAGGGTTTTGAAACCTTTATTTCTTTTTGTTGTTGTTGAGAATATACACTGCAGAATATATACCAATCCAACAGTTTCTACACGTACAATTCAGTGACATTGATTGCATTCTTCAAGATGTGCAACCATTCTCACCCTCCTTTTCTGAATTGTTCTTCCCCAGTTAACAAACTCACTGCCCCCTAAGGTTCCTAGCTAATCTTTCCAGTTGCTGTTGTTACTTTGATCCCATATAGGTCGTTCTTAAAAAAAGCATAATGCTCAAGGAGACATCTTTTACTAGTTAAGCTAAACTATCGTGTGGTTTTAAGAAGACTTCAGGGGATGTTTTTGATTTAAATTTTAAAGATTATCTCAGGATAATAGTTTCAGGGGTTCATCCAGCCTCTGTGGCTCCAGAAAGACTGGATTCCATGAAAATTTGAAATTCTGTTCTTCATTTTCACCATTTGGATCAGGATTCTTCCATAGAATCTTTAATCAAAATGTTCAGTAATGGTAGCCAGGCAGGATCCAGTTCTGGTCCCATGGCAAAGGAGGCAGTTGTTTATCTAGGCAATTAGCCACACATTCCATTACCTTCTCTTATTCCTGACTCTCTTCCTCCATTGCTCCAGGCGGATAGAGACCAAATGTCATGCCTTGGATGCCTGCTCACAAGCTTTTAAGACCTCAGGCACTATGCAACAAACTAACCAAAAAAAAAAAAAAAAAAAAAAACTAAATCCATTGCCATAGAGTGTATTGCAACTCATGGCAACCCTATACTATGCAAAGAACTAGGAGGTAGAATTTGTTGTTATGTGCTGTTGAGTCAATTTGCAACGGATACCAACTCTAGAGGACAGAGTAGAACTGCCTCGTAAGGTTTCCTAGGCTGTAATCTTTACAGGCCTAGATTGCCAGGTCTTTTCTCCTAAAGAACTGCTAGTGGGTTTGAAACTCTGACTTTTCAGTTAGCAGCCAAATGCTTAACCATTGCTCCACCAGGGCTCCTCAAGGAGGTAGAATAGGAGGGAGCGGGGCCAAAATGGCAGAGTAGTCAGATGCTTCTGGTAGACCCTCTTACAACAAAGACCGGAAAAAACAAGTGATTCAATTATATGTGGCAATCTGGGAGCCCTGAACATCAAAGGCAGAGTTGAGGAACCAGACTGAGTGGCAGGGAGAGGGAGAGACGGCTCGGAAGTGGCGAGGAGTTGCAAGACCTGACCCAGCGAGAGCCTAAGCCCTTCAGGCCTGATCAGCTCAGGGGTGAGCAGTGAGGCAGGCAAGCAGCCGTGCTCAGGAGGCACGTTTTCTGCACCAGGAGAGACCCAGCACCAGAGAGTCTACACGGCCACCCAGAACCAGTGAGAAGAAGCCCTCCACGAAAGATAAGTACTTGCGTGCATCTTACCGCAGGAATCAAAAACACCCCCCTTGGGGAAAAACCTCTCTCCCATTTACTTCCCCATTGCCTGGTCTGCACTGGGTCCTGGACCGGCTTCATCAATTGCTGAGTCCTCTAGGCCAGAAGTAGGATCCATCACATGCCTGGAGCCCTTCTCCCTGCCTTGTAGAGTGAACAAATTAACAAACAGAGGAAGAAATAAATTGCCGGCTCCCTTAAGCCAGGAACCCAGGATAGGCACAGGTCCTTTGCCTAAGCACAGGCATAAGGGATCCACAGACTTTGAGTGCCTTTCCCGCTGCATAGACTTGTGCAGGCCCATCTCAACTGCGTAGGCCTTCATTACCACAGTGCAATAGGGTATATACTGGAACTCTAACTTCAACTGTTTCAGCTGTGAAGTGGAAGGTTCTTGACATTTGACACTGCTCTGTCCACTAAGCAGGGTCTTCACTGACCCACAACGGGCCTGAGGACTGATGGCTCCACCCACACCACCTAGCCACCTGCGATAGGGGCCCAGGAATAAGAGGTGCCCCCAGTCCTTACAGCGAACATCATTGGATGCTCATAGTTCGGCTGCAAAACCCACCCACCTATGCGCTGTAGGGAACAGGGACACGCCTTCCTACTGGACATTCAGGGGTGGATGTCAACCCCCTGCCTTGCTCAGAGTGTGTTGCTCTGCTGCAGCCAGATGCCTGTGCCTACACCAAACACCCATGCCTGTCTAGGACTGTAGGTGAGAGCCTACACCACACACTTGGTGGCTATCTACCTGGGCACCTGAGCTGAATCCATACAGGAGGAATTGGCAGACTCCTGAGCTCACCTACCTAGTAACAGATATAACCGTCTGGTGACAGGACATTAGAGCTTCAAAGGTGCCAATAATCAAACAAGCTCATACAAGCAGCCTATTTGGGCATATCAAAACAAAACAAGAAGCTAGGACACAGTAAGCAAACATAAAATAAATACATATAATAACTTATTGATGCCTCGGAGACAACAGTCAATATCAAATCACATGAAGAGGCAATCCATGATGGCTTCAGTAAGCTCCCAAAATAAAGAATCTAGAACTTTCCAGAGGAGGAAAACTTCTTTGAATTACTGGAGGCAGAATACAAAAGATTAATATACAGAACTCTTCAAGAAATTAGGAAGGAAATTCAGCAAAACACAGAACACACAACAGAGGAAATTAAAAAGACTGTTGTAGTTTAACTTAACTTTACATTTCAAGTTAGTCTCCCATACAAAAATTTATACATACATTGTTATCTGACTCTAATTGCTCTCCCCATATTGTGACAGCACACTCCTCCTTTCCACCCCTGATTCCCCATGTGCATTCAACCAGTTCCTAACCTTCTCTGCCTTCCCATCTCACCTCTGGACAGAAGCTGCCCATTTAGTCTCTTGTATCTACTTGAGCTAAGAGGCACACTCCTCATGAGCATCACTCCATGTCCCACAGTCCAGTCCAATCA